ACTGCACCGGTGTTTGGAAAGCTTCGTTGGCAGAAACACGAGAGGACCCACACAGGCGAAAGCCTTAACAAGTGCTCTGAATGTGGTAAAAGCTTTCAGACCAGCTTCCAGTTGAAAATACACAAAAGGACACGCACACTGGCCAGACGCCGTATCAGTGCTGATAGTGATCCACGTGAGGGTCAACACTATAACAGAGAGACTGTACAGGTGCCCGAGTGTGGGAAGAGCTTGGTTTCTAGCTCACATCTCAGGAAGCTTAGTTTATAGTTAGTATATATGGCCAAGCAGCTAGCTGCATAAGTGCTCCTACTAGTGCAAAAAGCATCAGTAGGGAATTCCAACTTGGCGGTCTACGAACAGATTCATATCAGAGTTCTTCCATGTTTCATAAACACATGAAAATCCACCCAGGAGCGACATCCTAGAGGGCAGGGTTGGTGTTCGGGTCTAACACGCAATCTCAAGAGATAGTGATAATGATGTTAGCATTGGAGTAAAACGGCAGACGGCTAAGAGTCGAGCACAAAGGGGCATTGGTGGCTTTTAAACATACTGATACATTAAAAGATTGTAAAGAAGTCCTCGTTTCACACTGCGGTTCTTTGTTCTCTGGGGTAGCAGCACAGGTTAGAAGTGGGTCATTTTCTGAAATCTTGGCACTTGGCCGTCAGCCGGGATTAGAGAACTGAATAGATTGACAAGCCCATATCTGCAAGGAATGTTTCTGGATGTTGTGTGGCTCCTTGCAGAATACGTTTTGGCCTCTGTGGAGATTTTGGGAGAGGAGCTGCAGCCGAACACAGTATAGCAGGGGTGTCAACCTCGAAACGTCATGTGACGTGTTGCGGCATTGCGATTTTTTTTCTGTTGACAATGGGGTGGGTGCGGTTTTGCTATGATGCATCCAACCCATGGGCCAGCAGTTTGACACCCCTGCAGTACAGTAAATCTCAGGTGGCAAAAGCAAGATTTTTCTCAAAAGTGCCCTCATAGGCCTACACCCATTCTTCAACCTTCACATTTCGCCATGGCCTGCTCTGCTTACATCTCTTGTGATTACTGTTTTCTTTAATCAATAAATCCTAAAATAAGATCAGCACCTAGAGTCATTGGGAGTCAATTGGTGGTTTGTTTAAGCAATTTATATGGCTGCCCTTATATAATGATGCTGGGCAATGGGCAAAGAGTTCAACTCTTTGAAGTAATGAAGATGATGTTTAGTAATCTAGATCAGTGTTTCAATAGACGAGAATACCTGTAGCTCAGGCTCTTTGCCCTCTGAGGTTGGTTGTTTGCAGATGTTTTATTACCCAACCAGGTATTCTACCAAGGAGAAAACCACACCCCCATGAACCCTAGCCAGGCAAGCTACTGTAGGTAAACTGGAAGCAAGCCCCACCCTCCGTCACACTGATGATGTTACCTAGTTGGTAATGAGATGTCTGCAAACAAATCACGAAGCTCAGAAAGCATAAAGGGCTCCATGAAACAGTGTTTCTCAACCTTGGCAAGGCTGACCGAAGAGTTCTGGAATTGAAGTCCACAAGGCTTAAAACCGCCATGGTTGAGAAACATCAGTCTAGATCAGGGGTGTCAAACTGCCGGCCTGCTCAGCCCAGCTCCAGCAAGGGGGGAAAAGTCACATCACGTCACTTGGTGAGTTTGACACCCCTGGTCTAGATAAAAAATGAGGTTGAGGGGATGATGTAGGCATGGCAGCATCTTCCAGACACATTGAATGGGTAGTGGTGGAAAGGAAAATCAAGAGGCGTGAAAGGAAAAGCCTGTAGGTGGTAGCAAAAGAGCATTATATGAAATCAGGAGAGTAGAAATTATGTTCCTAAACTTCTTCCATCTTATTTTGTTACTAAATTTGTTTACATGCCAGTGGCTCATGGTGGTCCGCATCCCCTGCAAGCAGAAATGTAACTCTGTGTGCAAAGTTTCCATCTAGTCCTTTGTCTCATTACATGCAGCTGGATCTTCCATTGCTGAAGTCCATTTTAGTCTATGCTACCATGTAGAGTGATTTGATTCATGCAGTTTTCCTCCAAAATGGCGGGAATTTTCACATGAATCCTGAACTTCTGCAGGAAAATGATGATTCCCCAAATACAACAGTACACACTTTTTTTTGTGCAACGGGGTAGTTTCTTTTCTCCCATCTACTTCCCCCTCCCAATTTCTTCCGTGTATCGAAGTGCCCATAATCATCAAGTTTTAACACTGGGTCTTGCATGCCAAACTAAATAGCTTTAGGGGTTTTGCAGTAAAAAGCTGGAGGCATAGCCAGCTGATGCCCAGATTCCTTAATTCCTTCATCCTAGAATGTGATACCAGAACCTAAAAATAATGAAATGCTGGTTTCCAGAGTCATTAATCTCTTTTAACAGCTGCATCAACGTGTCTGGACCTTTAAGCTCAAGTAAGTTAATTTGCATCACTTTCTCTGCTTCTCCTTCCATATTTTTAAGAAACCCCTGGGTCAAGGCACATTTTTTATGTTTTGACCAACATCATGCAGGTTAATAACAAGGCTTGGAGCCAGATGGCTTGAGGCCAAGTTTCATGCAGGACCATCTTTTGTTACATGCGGCAGAAGAGGCTGCTCTAGGTCACATCTATTAGGGCAGAGGTCCCCAACCGTGCCACTTTATGACTGTGGACTTCAACTCCCAGAATTCCTCATTCAGGGAGTTGAAGTTCACAAGTCATAAAGCGGACAAGGTTGGGGACCCCTGTATTCGGGAGATGCTTCCTGGCATGAGCCAAGAAGAGAGCTGTTTCTGTCCTGGAGCCCATCTTCTGGACCAGGGGTTCTCAACCTTTTTAATGCCGCGACCCCCCCCAACCGGTCATAAGTCGAGGACTACTCAACCAGTCGTAAGTCGAGGACTACTCAACTGGGGCAGCACCGTTTGCAGAATGGGACTTTTGGCAGGCTCAGCAGGGCAGAGACAGCCTGGACAATTCCTATTGGCTTTTGAAAGCCAATAGAATTAGACTCTATTCAAGAGAGTCTATTCTATTGGCTTTCAAAAGCCAATAGAATAAAAGGGAGTAGCACAGCTAAGGAAAAGGGGGGGAAAATGGCGGACTGCGTTGTTTGACAACCCCCGTGAAATGGTCGTTCGACCCCAAATGGGGTCCCGACCCACAGGTTGAGAACCACTGTTCTGGACCATCATCCCTCAAGCAATCAGACTGGCCCCAACCCCGCTGGATCTCCAAATTATGGTTACATTAATAGCGTTAGTTGGAATTTACCTTGTCTGTGGACCATGTTGTTTATTTCACTGTGTTGTTTTTTGTCTTGTTTTTATTCATTCTTAAACTCACATATTTTGAGGTGGGCAGTTGTCTGAATGCAAGTAGGCAGGCAGGGGACTTCTGAATAAAATTAATGATCAAAAGTGTGGTGAGATTGGGGGAAGAATTAAAGGCATGGTTTTCAGCAAGGCGATTTCAATCCAAAAGCCACCGGAGTTCTCAATAATAAAATTACTTCCCATAGTGCAGGCTTCTGCAGGTCCAACACACTTCTTAGCTTCTGAGTTGTTTTTCTTTTTTCCATTCAATTCTCTTAACATTTCAGACCCCAGATACATCTCCTCTTGGGGAAAACCCACACAACTGCCTTGCAGAAATTCACAAGAGAACTACGACTGCCAACAGAGTCGTAGACTCTAGAAAGAGTTCAGAGAAGAGCAACAAAGATGATCAGGGTATTGGAGACTAAAACATATAAGGAACGGTTGTTGGAATTGGGTATGTCAAGTTTAACAAAGAGAAGGACGAGGGGGGACATGATGGCAGTGTTCCAATATCTCAGGGGCTGCCCCAAAGAAGAGGGAGTCAGGCTATTTTCCAAAGCGCCTGAAGGCAGGAGAAGAAGCAACGTTTGGAAACTAATCAAGGAGAGAAGCAACCTAGAACTAAGGAGAAACTTAGAACAATTAACCAATGGAACAACCTGCCTCCAGAAGCGGTGAATGCTCCAACACTTGCAAGTTTTTAAGAAGAGACTGGACAGCCATTTATCCGAAATGGTATAGGGCAGTGGTTCTCAACATTTTTAATGCCGCGACCCCCAACCGGTCATAAGTTGAGGACTACTCAACCGGTCGTAAGACGAGGACTACTCAACTAGTGCAGCACCATTTGCAGAATGGGACTTTTGGTGGGCTCAGCAGGGCAGAGACAGCCTGGACAATTCCTATTGGCTTTTGAAAGCCAATAGAATTAGCCTCTATTCAAGAGAGTCTATTCTATTGGCTTTCAAAAGCCAATAAAGGGAGTAGCACAGCTAAGGAAAAGGGGGGGGGGGAAATGGCAGACTGCGTTGTTTGGCGACCCCCGTGAAATGGTTGTTCGACCCCAAATGGGGTCCCGACCTACAGGTTGAGAACCACTGGTATAGGGTTTCCTGCCTGAGCAGGGGGTTGGACTAGATGACCTCCAAGGTCCCTTCCAATGTTATTATTAATTATTATTAATTATTATTATTATTATTAGCAGCAGCAGCTTGGGCTCCGTGGGTTAGGCGTATGATGCCTTTACCTGCCGTTTTCATGTTTGGATTATTTTGTAAAGCGGTACTACTCGCGTTTGGACCAAGCAGTACACACATAGCAAACAAACGAATGCATTTGAACAGGTTCATGGAGAAGTCGGTCCTTAAGTAGTTAGGATGGCCCTGATGGACCTTCAGCAATCGGGCATCTCTGGACATCGGCCAGGATAGCAAGCGATGGCTTTCTCCCAACAAGCTAACGCGCCCCTCCAGGAAAAAAAAAGTCTCCAGCTTAGCCTATGCAAATGCAAGCCTGAGCTCCGCCTCCAAGAGGCGTCCTGGCCCCTCCCGCTTCCAGTCCGGACAGGCGGCGAGGTTGCAGTTCCATCTTGGGAGGGAGGCGCGTCGGTGCGAGGAACAGCGCTGGCTGCGGCTCTTCCAGCGGCAGTCACGTGGTAAGAAAAAACGTGGGCTTCCCGGGGAGCCGCGGGAAAGAACCGCGGGAATCCGCCTTTCCTATACCCGCCTCGCGCTCGGGCATGGCAGCTCAGAAGTTGAGCCTTTTGATCCTCAGGGGCAGGTCGAGAACCACTTTTGCACTTTGTGGTGGGGGTGGGGGGGTAAGGATGGGGGGGAGGGAAACCCCTCCACTTGGTCTGGATCTTGGAATCTGGGATTTTTATCCCAGTTCCCTGATTACTGGGATCCGGTTGAGGCTTTTCAATCAGGCTGCTAAAACTTCTCGGCGGCTGCATTGTACGCTGCCCGTTTTCACCAACCTAATTTTGGTAGTAGCTTTGCTGGCAACGTGGGAAGATGCTGTACTCATAACAGCCCTGTTGGTTGGTGGCAGAGAGAAGCTATGGGGGGCTTTGTAGTGTCGTGGAGCTTTCTCTTCACCCCCTCCAAATTAATGACATCAATTATTCTATCACTATCAAAGATATCGCTTTACTAGAGTTTTATTTAAGGACTAGGGGGACACGATAGCAGTATTCCAGTTTTTGAGAGGCTGCCACAAAGAGGAGGGGGTCAGCTTATTTTCCAAAGCATCAGAAGGCAGGACAAGAAACAATGGATGAAAAATCAAGGAGAGAAGCAACCTGGAATTAAGGAGACACTTCCTAGTGAGGACAATTAACCAGTTTGCCATCAGAAGTTGTGGGTATCCCAAAGATGCTTTTTCAGGAGACAACTGGACTTTTTTTTTTTTTTTTTTTGAAGATGTTTCGCTTCTCATCCAAGAAGCTTCTTCAGCTCTGACTGGATGGATGGTGGGGAATGGAAGGATTTATATCAGTGTTTCTCAACCTTGACATTTTAAGGCATGTGGACTTCAACTCCCAGAATTCCACAGCCAGCATTGCTGGCTGTGGAATTCTGGGAGTTGGTCCACATGCCTTAAAATTGTCAAGGTTGAGAAACACTGATTTATATCCCTTGCAGAGGGCTGATCATTTGCATTCTTTTAGAGACTTGTTGAAGGTTTATCTGTGTCCTCAAGGTCACCTGAGTAGGGCAAATGGTGTGTGGAGCCTTCTTGGCTGCAGGATGTTATCTGCCCGGTGTCCCTTCACTGTTAAAGAAAGGCCAGGCTGTTGGGGATGAGTCTGTGTTGTCTGCATCTCAAACTGAAGCACAATGGTTCCTGCAGTCTGCAGTATTTCCTGGAAATCCATTCATATTCCCTCACCATTCGAAGGATGTTCATCCCAAAGTGCATAGCTAAATGTCTGTGGAGATTCTCAGTCATCCAAGTTATGGTTGTCCGAAAGGTATTTTTTCAGGAGGCAATTGGACTTTCTTGTTTTTCTTTGAAGACTGAGAATCGCCATAGGCCTAGACATTAGCTGTATACTATATACATTTGCGCTTCAGTTTGAGATGCAGCCAACACAGACTCATCCCCAACAGCCTGTGCCTGTCTTCAACAGTGAAGGGACACAGAGCAGAAAACAGGCTCCAGGTGACTGCAGTGCCCCCCTCCCCCCGGCCTCTTTCCCCCCCATTCCACCTGCCAGGACCCCACAGAGTTCAACCTGCTCCTGACACATCTGTCATCCATCACACTTATCTTTTAAAGTTCTCTGGACCTCATGTTGGGGGAAGGAGGGCAGGCCACATGTACCTGGGCCATGCAGTGACGATCTGAACGTGGCTGCCATTTTGTCCCACCCAGGACCAAGAGCAAAATGGCAGCCACCTGACAAAAACTTGGGTTTTGCTGCATTAGCGAGGTCTGCACAGCGCTGCAGAAGCTTCTGAATGCTGTGGAAAGCTTCTGCAGACCTTGTGAAGGCAGCTTATTTTCCAAAGCACCAGAAGAGTCCAGCCCCCTGCTCAAAGGAGAACGTATAACATTTCAGACGTGACTGTCTAGCTCAGTGGTTCTCAACCTGTGGGTCGGGACCCCATTTGGGGTCAAACGACCATTTCATGGGGGTCGCCAAACAACACAGTCCGCCATTTTTTCCCCCTTTTCCTTAGCTGTGCTACTCCCTTTTATTCTATTGGCTTTTGAAAGCCAATAGAATAGACTCTCTTGAATAGAGTCTAATTCTATTGGCTTTCAAAAGCCAATAGGAATTGTCCAGGCTGTCTCTGCTCTGCTGAGCCCGCCAAAAGGCCCATTCTGCAAATGGTGCTGCACCAGTTGAGTAGTCCTCGACTTACGACCGGTTGGGGGTCACGGCATTAAAAAGGTTGAGAACCACTGGTCTAGCTTCTTCTTGAAAATCTCCAGTGATGGAGCGCCCACGATTTCTGCAGACAAGCTGTTGCACTGGTTGATTGTCCTCACTGTCAGGAAGTTTCTCCTTAATTCCAGGTTGCTTCTCTCTTTGATCAGTTTCCAGCCTTATGTCTTTATGTATTTATTTATTCAACTTGTATTACAGAGCTACTAAGCATCAGCTAGGAATCCCACAGCTGAGAATTGTCTTTATTCCAGTGAGAACATTTTAAAAATCTTGGAGAAATAATGAATGTCAGAGACATGGATCTTTTTATTCCTTCCACATCCTGTAGCCCTAATTAATATTTCCTTTCCGTTTCCCATCTGGAACTGCAGAGAGCAACAACTATGGAGGAACAGAGGCTGGTGGTACCCAAAGAAGAAGAAGAGGGGACTGAGAATGGGGGAAGAGATCCTCTGATTGTCCAAGTGAGAACCCTTGGGGACTTTTTGACCCAGCATGGGACATCCCACCTTAAGCCTGAGTCAAAGGATGAAATGCACCAATGCTGGGACTCTCAATGGCAAGAATTCCTGAAAAGTGTGGCCGGGCTTCCCATAGCACCATCTCCCTTGGAGGAAAACGCCGCAGACTCCCAGGCGTCCTTGGGAAGAGACAAAGAGCATCCACAGGAGGAGAGTTCTGGGGAAGCCAGAGAGAAGTCGGTGCTCCAGAGGGATCCAAGCATGGATCAGAGAGCCTGGATGGGCAGGGAAAAGCTGGATTCCTCCATAAAGGTGAAGGTGGAAGAGATTCAGGAGGAAGTCAATCTGGAGAGCCAGGCGCTTCTGTCCCTCAGGCAATTCAGCTCCCAGGATGCTGAGGAGCACCAGGAGGTATCTAGCACCCAAATACCAAAAAAAGCGGGGAAGTGGATTGGGAGGCAATATGGGAAAAGGGTTGCAAACAGTCATCAAAATGTTACCAGCCAGCTACACAATTGCAGGTGTCAAGATTGTTTCAGTTTTGGTCCCTGTGAAAAATATTTCAATTAGCGTAATGGTCTCAGAGCACAAAATGCTGGGAATATCTTAAGGAGATTGTGGGGGATTCTGTATGTCTATGGCACAAGTCTCCAAACTTGGCAACTTCACGACTTGTGGATGTCCACTCCCAGAATTCCTCAGCCAGGCACGCTGGCTAGGGAATTCTGGGAGTTGAAATCCACAAGTCTTAAAAGTTGCCAAGTTTGGAGACCTTTGGTCTATGGCGATCAGACAACTGCCCAAAGGAGAATATTTAGAAGGGCAGAGGAGAATATTAAAGTTTTCAGATCATTCTGTTTAGCTTTGTGCTGCCTTGTAAGGAAAAAAATGAATAAAGAAGGTAACCTTGTCCTTCGTTTTAGAATATAAAGTGTTTTGAATGACATAAGGATAATCAGGGCTGGTGATTTCTCTTTGATACTGATCTAATACAGTATTCCCCACATGTGTCTTCTAGATGTTTTCAGCAGCCTCACCCTGCAGTTGATTAAAATGTGCCAGTTTGGAAAAGGTTGGATTTTTGAGAATCCCAGCTTGGGAACTATAGATTACCATAATCCTAGAGTCAGGTGGCTTAAAAATGTAAAATATTAAGGTTTATCGCATAGTCAGCCAGATGTTTAGATTGGATTTGGCATTTTTATCCACTTATTGAGTCTTTTCCAAGGACTTCCCTACTTCCAAGGAGTCAATGTTTTATGGTGTTAAAGGTATTGTTGCAGGATGTAAGCTCTTTTGAGTAAAGCTGTTTTTTGCAATTGACCAATGGTAATTTTGTCAATGCTCGTGGTGTTTAAGTGGTGCTCCATTTTTGGCTTTGCACCCAATAGGCTTTGTACCTATTACTACTGGTACATCCTTTGCTTTCTTTTGCCACAGTTGTTCAATTTCTGTTTGTAGGTCTTCGTATTTTATTATTTTCTCCAGTTCTTTTTCTTCTATTCTGCTATCTCCTGGAGCCACTGTATCCATTATCCAGATTTTTTAAATTTTCTTATTGACTATTGATAAGTCTGAGGAGTTATGTGGAAGGTGCCTGTTTATGTAAAGTCTAAAGTCCTGGAGCATTTACTTCTTCATTTTACTATTGGTACTATCTTTGCTTTCTTTTGCCATGTCATTATTATTATTATTGATATATAGCAGGGGTGTCAAACTGCCGGCCCATGGGCCAGACACGTCACGTGGAAGCCATGCCCACCCCATTGCCGGCAATGGCAAAACTGGCCCGATACGTCGCGAGTTTGACATGCCTGATATATAGGGATTGGATGCTTTGTGACTAAACACGTTGCAGTATCTTCACCTTTATCTTGAAACTAGCATGAAGAAAATCATCCATAGTATGATTGAAATGTCTGGTCTCATTAAATTATGCAAATACCAATACACTGCTTCCTTGCTTAGCAACCAAAATCTATTCTTTAAATTGGAAGTAAAATGGTCACAAATGAACGTGTGGGAGGGAGGGAGGGAGGAAGGGAGGGAGAAAGAGAGAGAGAGAGAGAGAGAGAGAGAGAGAGAGAGAGAGAGAGAGAGAGAGAGAGAGAAATGGAGGCTGCAAAGATCTCTGGTAGCTGCTGTTAAGTACATGCATTTGACAGAATTTTTTTTCATTATTGTTGTATTTGCAAATGGTTGCTAATCAGGGTAACAGCTAACCAAGTATTGTGGCCCACGAAATTAGGATTAGGTTTATGTTTCGAGAATCCAGCCAAAAGTTTGTAAGCAAGGAAGTGATCTGCTATCTCTGCAGTAAATAGCCCAGTATGAGGTGCAGTTGTTCCTCATTTAATAACTACCTTGCTTAATGACCGTTTGCAAATACAGAAGTAATAAAAAATTAATTATGTAATGAATGAATGAATTTTTGGCTTTTGCACATTTCTCTTTCAGTAACATGTTCATATTATAGTTAGTACTGCATGTAATCTCTTATTTTTTACTTGCATATTTACTTGCTTACATGCACTTATGTCCCATATCAAGATGTCTTCAAACAGAAAGAACCCCGGCTCAACTGAAGCAAGTAGCAAGAGACATAGGAAAGTCATTGATCTCAATTTGAAGATGAAGATCATCAAAGCGTATGAAGCCGGGAAGAAGATAAATAAAATAGCGAAAGAAGAAGGTCTGGCTCATTCCACTATCTCCGCTACTGTGAAGGATAGGGAAAGGATCAAAGAGACATTGAAAGGAGCAGCGGGAATGAACACGAGTATAACCAGACAGCGAAAAGGCCTCATCCACAAAATGGAACCACTCCTTATGCTTTGGATCAAAGATCGGATACAAAAGAGGCTGCCGATGAGCCTTCCATTCATTCAGACTAAGGCGCGCAGCATTTTCACAACGCTGAAGGAACGAGCAGATGAGGAATGCGCCGAAACATTCACTGCCAGCCATGGCTGGTTTATGCGGTTTCAGCAGAGATTTCCTTACCAGATATTACCATCAGGTGAAGCTTCATGGGCTGACAAAGAAGCTGCCAAACGTTTTCTGGATGAACTTGATGACGTTGTAGCAGAAGGGAACTACTTCGCTGAGCAGATATTCAGAGTGGATGAAACTGTGTTATATTGGAAAAGAATACTGGGGCAGACCTATATACACAAAGAGGCTCAAGCAATGCCTGGTTGTAAAGCATTTAAGGATAGAGTAACTTTGGTATTGGGCGGAAATGTTGCCGGATTCAAGCTGAAGCCATTTGTGATCTTCAAATCAGATCATGCCGGAATAGTTCAAAATATAAACAAGGACACACTGCCTGTTTATTACCGATTTGATAGCGAGACCTGGATGACATACATCCTGTTTGAGGATTGGTTTACGAATTGTTTCATACCTCAGGTAAAGGAATATTGTGGACAAAAGGGGATTCCTTTTAAAATTCTCCTGCTCCTGGACAAAGCCCCTGGATATCCCCTGCATCTCGACAGTCTCCATTCTGATGTAAAGGTAGTTTGTCTACCCCCAAGCATCACCACTCTCCTACAGCCAATGTGCCAGAGAGCCCTCTTGGTATTCAAGGCATGCTATTTGCATGCAGTATTTGCCAAAGCCTTAGCCGCAATGGAAGATGACAAAGTAACATTGCCCAAATTTTGGGAAAGCTATAATATCCTGCACTGTATCGAAAACATTGTAGCAGCATGGGAAGATTTTAGTGTGAAAAGCATGCAAGGGTTTTGGGAAAAGTGCTTAAACCGTTATACTGCTTTTGCAAATAATTTTGAAGGATTTAACCACAAACAAAATTTGGATGAAATAAATAAGAAAATTTTGACGCTCACAAAATCCCTTGGTTTAGAGTTTGAGGCTGAAGATGTGAAAAATTTGATAGCTTACACCGAGGGAGAGCTTCCCAACGAAGATTTAATTGAACTGAAAAAAGAATTGGAAGCACAGAAGGTTAAGGAAGAAGTAGCAGAAAAAGAAAGAAGAAAAGAAGAAAAAGTTGTAGAAGTTGAATTGAAGACATTCAATGAGAAAGGTTTGGCTGGTATTTTCTCAGGTGTCAATTTTTTTTTATCAGACTTAGAAAGTATGGATCCAGATAAAGAACATTTTAGAAAAGTACATTTGGAGATGTGTGAAATCTTAAAATGTTACCACAAAATATATGAAGGAATAAAGAAGGAAAATAAAAATAAAGAAATCAAACTTCCCTCCCTCTTGCCCTTCCCATCCACAGGAATAAAACCCACGGACAATCCTCAGCCATCAACCAGCTATGCCAGCAGATCCGATGTTCCTGAAAACTCAGAAAACCATGAATCTTTCAAAGGACATATGTCCAATTTGATGTTTACAGGTACTGTAATTGTAAATTCTCATTTTGCACAGGCAGTCTTCATTTCACAACTGCAGTTACAGAAGTGATGCGAAAGTAACTTTACAACCAGTCACAGATTTGTACAGACCTTCATCAATTTGTACAACAAAGTACCGTATTTTCCGGCGTATAAGACGACTTGGCGTATAAGACGATCCCCGACTTTGGTGCCGATTTCAACGCTTTAGAAAGTTGTCTTATACGCCGGAAAATACGGTAGATCTGAAGCACTGGTTACTGTGCTTATGATTCTAGTTCAGCTTATTTTGCTTTACAGAAATGCAGAGGTCATAAACGCAAGGATTAATTATAAAGTTATGTTTGCATCATCTTGTAGGCTGGGATCTTGAGTGGGTGCTATGGAGTGGGTGGTCCGGCGGCCGAGGGAGGAAGGGAGGGGGCTACAGAGTGGAGGCTGGCAGGGAGGCACTATGGAGTATGAGAACCAGGATCCTATACTCTAGTGCAGTGATTCTCAACCTTTTTAATGCCACGACCCCCAACTGGTCGTAAGTCGAGGGCTACTCAACCGGTCGTAAGTCGAGGACTACTCAACTGGTACAGCACCGTTTGCAGAATGGGACTTTTGGCAGGCTCAGCAGGGCAGAGACAGCCTGGACAATTCCTATTGGCTTTTGAAAGCCAATAGAATTAGACTCTATTCAAGAGAGTCTATTCTATTGGCTTTCAAAAGCTAATAGAATAAAAGGGAGTAGCACAGCTAAGGAAAAGGGGAAAAAACAGCGGACTGCGTTGTTTGGCGACCCCCGTGAAATGGTCGTTCGACCCCAAATGGGGTCCCGACCCACAGGTTGAGAACCACTGCTCTAGTGGGCTTCTTGAAAAAAAAAGAAGTTGGGAAGAATTAGGGCAGAGGCTTTTGAGCTTTCTTGCAAGCTTCCACATTAATGTTGGTTATGGGAAGTTGACAGGTGGAAAGGGCGATTACATGACCACAGCTCCCTGATCATATGATAGCGAGGACACTGCAACACTTGGAATTCTGAGGAAGCTTACAAGTCCTCGTTTAGCACCATTCTAACTTTGAGTAGTTGCTGAATGAGTGATCACAAAGTGAGAACTTCATACACCGAGTTTCTTTTTTTTTTCTATTTATATTCCACCCACACTCGATAGCACCCACTCAAAATCCCAGCCTACAACATGGTGAAAACATAACTTTCTAAAAAAACAATGTCTGCATAAAGATAGTCCTTGAGGTAGAATAGACCATTTAGCTACTGTTCAAAATTATCACACACACGCACCCACATAAGCCACATAGGATCCCATTTCAAAGTTACAAAAACCGCACCTGCCATTTTGTTCTGCCCTCTTGAGGGCAGGGAGAAAATGGCGGCCACCAGACAAATTGCTTCCTTTTGCTGCACAGTCTTGAAGAGGCTCTTGAATGCTGCAGAAAGCGCCTGCAGCACTTTGCGGACCTTGTTAAGGCACAAAACAATAACGTCTGTTCACCCGCCTGTTGGTAACACAAATGCAAGCTGCCATTTTGTCCCCACTTGTTTCTGGATGGGGATAAAATGGCAGCCGGCAGACAAACTGCTTCATTTTGCTACCTTACAGAGATCTGCACGTTGCTGCAGAAGCTTCTGAATGCTGCAGAAAGTTTCTGCAGCACTCTGCAGTCCCTGCTAAGGCAGCAAAATTAAGCAGTTTGCACTCAAGCTGCACTGCATGACCTGAATGCAGCCGCCATTTTGTGGGCAGAACAAAATGGCAGCCTCAGAATTGCACCATGCAGCCACACAAATAAGCCATTCTAGCACTGATAGACCACAGAGCTCCTCAAAAAGTAATTGAGGAGAATAGTGTTTGGCCTGGCAGGATGGGAATCTGGCCTGGGAGGACCCAGAAGTGAGAATAGGCTGGTTAGAATCCAAGTGTGGAAATGGAGCATGGGGTATCTCTGGGTTGGGGGAGGCCTTCGGAGGGCCAGGGCAGACGGGTCTGGGCCTGTGCTAGGACTCCAAGGGCCTCCCCCATCCTGGAGGTACCCTGCACTCTGCTTAATGACTCAAATGTTCGTTTAATGATTCATTGGTGAGAGCAGGGATTTGGGGGGGGTCGTTAAGTGAGACGTTTCACCTACGGTGACATGTAACCGTAATGGGCAGGCTTTATTACACTCATATACTGAGGATTACCTGTACATTTTTAAACCAAAGCTTTAATAAAAGTTCCTGAGTTTTAAATTATCTGAATGATATGCAAAGATTTAAAAGGTAATTATTACAGTGTGTTTTTATTTTTTTTTTTTTTTATTAAAAGTTTTATAAATTTTACAAAAAAAACAAGAACAATACAGAACAAAAAACAACATATACAAAAGAAAAAAAAAATTAAACAATACATATAAAAAAAAAACCCACCCCACACCCCTCCCAAAAACCCTCCCTTCCCCCCCCCTGAGCTTCCCAGAGCAGAATATAGGCTTAAGAAATAATAATAAAAAAAAATAAAAATTAAATTAAAAACTTTATATTTATATATATAAAAAAGATATCTATAATATATATAAAAATAAAACTTATGAAAAAGCTATATGATATTTTTGTATACCCAATCTAAATTGTATAAATTTTATCCATTTGTCCCAGATAGCAAAAAACTTCTCTTGCGTTTGTTGCTTTAAGAAAGCCGAAATCTTTGCCATTTCCGCCAGATAAGCTACTTTAAAAAACCATTCCTGCAATGTAGGCAAAGATTCCTTCTTCCAATATTGTCCAACTAACAGCCTCGCGGCTGTGATCAAGTTTAACATCAATACAACCTCCTTTGTATCACAATCTGTAACAATACCTAACAAAAATAATTGCGGAGTAAATTTTACCCTCCTTCTAAAAATTCTCTGGATATTCCACCATATTTTGATCCAAAATGCTTTTATCTCTCTGCATGACCACCAAATATGATAATAGGAAGCCTCCTTATAACCACATCTCCAGCATTTAGGTTGCACGTCAGGGTACATGTAAGACATTTTTTGTGGATCAAGGTGCCATCTATAAAACATTTTATAAAAATTCTCCCTTAAGTTCTGTGCTTGAGTAAATTTGACATTTCTCACCCAAATAGTTTCCCAGGTGTCCAATGAAACTGGCTCACCAAAATTCTGCGCCCATCTAATCATACAATCTTTAATTAGTTCCGTTTCTGAGTCCAATTCAACTAAAACCCCATAAATTCTCTTAATGTGGGTTTGTCTTTGATCCTTCAGTTGCTTAATAAGATTTTCATCTTCTCTAAGAAAACCCACCTTACAATCCATCTTCCATCTATCTAGTAGTTGCCTATATTGGAACCAAGAATAAGTAAAATTTTCTTGTGCTAATTCTTCCCGTGATTTTAATTGCCAGTTTTGTCCATCCCATTTAAGTAACTGTCTATAAGACACCATATCCATTTTAACCCCTCTTTTTATTCCTTCTATCGCATGCCAAGGTATAGCCCATAATGGTACTTTAAAATCACTTTTATAATATTTTCTCCAGATCCTAAGTAAAGAAATTCTTAAAATATGAGATTTAAAAGCCCAATCTATTTTTTTATTAAATATTAAATAGGCATGCCACCCATAAAGTAAATCCCATCCCTCTAGATAAAGTATCTCAGAATTTGTCAAATTTACCCAGTCACTAATTAATGTTAAAACCACCGCATCATAATATAATTTCAAATTTGGTACCTTGAGTCCACCCCTCTCACGGAAGTCTTGCATAATTTTGAACTTAACCCTTGGTTTTTTCCCTGCCCAAATAAATTTATTGAGACCCTTCTGCCACTCATTTAAATTAATCTCATTTTTCAAAATTGGTAACATTTGAAACAAAAAAAGAAACTTGGGTAGAATATTCATTTTTATCACTGCAATTCTTCCCATGAGGGATAATTGCAGCTTTTCCCAGTTCTTCAAGTCTTTCTGTACCCCGACCCACAACCTTTCATAATTGTTTTTAAATAATTTTGCATTAGAAACAGACAGCATCACCCCCAAATATTTTACCTTATTAACAATCTCAAAACCCGTCGAGTTAACCAAAATCTGCTTCTCCTGACTCGACATATTTTTAGGTAAAATTTTAGTCTTATTTACATTAATCTTAAAACCCGAGACCAAACCATAATGGTGAATCAACTGTAATAAGTTTACTACAGAATAATCAGGTTGCGACAAAGTAACAACCAAGTCATCCGCAAAAGCTCTCAACTTATATTCTTTTTTATTAACATATATTCCTTTAATTTCCTGAGACTCTCGAATTTTAATCAATAATATTTCCAATGTTAAAACAAACAACAATGGCGATAAAGGACACCCCTGTCTAGTACCTTTCTCTATTGTGAAAACCTCCGACAAACCTCCATTAACAATAAGTTGTGCTGTTTGTTTTTGATATATTACCTTAAGGGCTTGTAATATGTTTTCACCAAAATTCATTTCTTCCATTACTCTTAGCATAAAATGCCAATTCAGTTGGTCAAATGCTTTTTCAGCATCTAAAAATATGAGCCCTGCAGGAACTTGGTTGTTCTTATCTAAGTATTCTAATAAATTAATAATTTGTCTAACATTGTTTTTCATATACCTTCCTGTTATAAACCCTGATTGATCTTTATGCACAAGATGATGCACCACCCTCATAAGCCTATTTACCAAAATTTTTACAAATATCTTATAATCCACGTTTAAAAGAGATATAGGCCTATAATTTTTTGGTAAAGTAAGATCTTGATCCTCCTTTGGAATCAATGATATAAAGGCACTACGCCATGAAGGAGGAATCTCTAAACCCTGTAAGATACCATTAAAAAGATCATTTAATGGTTGAATCATCTCCTCCATTAAGGCTTTATAATAAACAGCTGTTAACCCATCCGTACCCGGTGCTTTCCCTAATTTCAATTGTTGAATTGCTGAGGCAATTTCCTCCTTAGTAATTAAACCATTAATTTCA